TCCCATTTTCCATTCACAAACAAAAACGACTGTTTCCACCTCCCCCAAACCACCACTCCCAGGGGTTTAATGGGAAACACCGCCACTATATCGCTACTATAAAGGCTACATATATCCTGGTTTCCAATCCCCATTCGGGATTTAGCCACAGGAGGATCAGTGCGGCAAAGCAGAGCTTTGACAAGGAAAAGGAGCCCGCGCGCGCTGCTTTTTTTTCCCCTAGCCGTATGCCCAGATGGGCCCTGCGGTGGTTTGGAGCAGGTTTCAGGGAGGGCTCCGATTCGTTCCAGAGGGTGAAAAAATGTTACCTCAGCATCCACTGGGCCCGTGGGGAACGCGCCATTTTCCTGTAGGATTGTAGGATGGTTCCCTGCTCATTTGGGTGTGGCTCAAGTTTTAAAGAGCTTGGGCAACCCGGAGGTTTTGGTCTTTGTTTCCACCATTTTGAGCCGTTTGGCAGATCCAGCTGCGTTTCTGAGAGGGTCCATCAGTTCCACTCGCTAGTGGCCAACCAGGCAAAAACGGCTCTAGCTCTTGTTTCGCCTGGGCCAAAGGGCTATTGAGTTCCTGTAGCGACTTTCTTGGATCCCTTCGGAATGTTACCCGAAAGAAAACGAAAGGAAAGTCAAGCGGTCTGGTTTTTGCAGTTGGTGAGCTCTAAAACCGACACTCACAGTGTTCGGAGTGTTTCAGAGTGTTGGCTGTCGGGTCGGCGTCTTGGCTTTGGTTCCATCGCGACCCAAGCGTGGGAAGGGGATTCGCGACCTTCAGGAGATCGTTGCTGACGAGCGCTGATTTTGCATTGCCAGACTTGGCTTGCCGTTTAAACGGGTGCCCTTTTGGTTTCTTTCCCTGTCAACCAGCGCAAAGCAAACTCTTGCAAGGGGGCTAAGTGTGGCCCTGTCTGGGCTGGTGTAAAAGATTGTCATTCACAAAACGTCACGCTGCGCTCCTAAGTTTGCATTGCTCAGCCATTTAGCCAGCCAAACTCGCACCACGGGGTTGATTGATTATTATTCGGTCAAGCTTGCAAGCTCTTGTCCTTCCTTTTGTCAGTTCATTTGCGTATTTAGGCCACCACCCATGGCTTTCCCGCCCGTCAACGAAAACGATTAACAGGTCTGTTTACCGACTTTCTTGGCTTGCAGCTTCATTCTCAGGTTGCCTCCCCTTGTTTCCTCGTCAGCTTGAAACAAGCCCTTTTCAGGCTTTCCAACGGTTAACCCTTGTTTCCGAGTTCCTCAAACGTGGCTTCCCCATATTTTCAGCCCGCCCGCATGTGCCGCGCGCGTGGCAAACACGAAGCCAAGACGCAAAGCCGGCGCCTCGGAGCGAGCGACATCTTCTGCTTCTCCGCAATGTCAGTGAGGAGGGTCGCGCCGACGTGCATTGTTTTTTGCGCTGGCAGGTTTTTGTTTCTTGGAGTCAATGCGAAGATCATTGAGAGTTGGCGCGGCATACCATTGCACGCTGGAGCCTGAGCGTGGCTCAGAGGCTTGAAGCAGGCTTTGGTATTGCATGGCCGAAATGACCTCCAACCAGCCGCATGGTTTCTTGACAGAAAGCAATTGCTCGGTCGATCTCAATGATTCAGCCCTCTTGTTCAAAGCAGCTCAAAAATCATGGCTGCTTTTTGCCTTGCAGGTCCAAGTGCTCAATATCGGTTTCATCCGACACACAACTTGTGGTCAGTTAAAATCCTGGTCCCAACCACAGCTGTGAGTGGCTTTTGGACTATCCCCAAAAGGTTTCCATGCCGCAAGTTTGACGCACCTTTCTGATGAGTGAGACACCATTTCGATGAACTGTTTATCACCCAGATTGATGTCTCAGTGCGCACCAAATTGGCACACTGTCTTTGTCTTATCCGCGAGCAAGCCCAAGTACACGGGTGTTCCTCAAAACGAACCCCCCAAAAGCAAGCCGACAAGTGATCGAAATACCAATCATGAGAGCCAAGTGCTTCCACTCGGCTATGCGCGACACAAGTTGGTGCCGGTGCGATGCGGCGCTGGCTTCCCTTCGCCGCGCGGCTGGATGATTGGGTGCCCCCTCACTGCAGCGTGGGATCCGCCAACGGCCGCGGCCGGGGCCTCTTCGTGAGCAAAGCCTTCAAGGCCGGAAGTGGGGCGAAAGATCCGAAGCAGAGTGGCGGACCTCGAAAGGGTAGGGAAGTCTTTAAGGGAGCCTCAAACACAAGTTTGGGTCCCCCGGTTAAACCAGCGAAACGTGTCGGTTGAAGCAATGGTACTATAAGGGGGTGAAGCATATATAAACATTCCTATGTGTTTTTCGAAGTAGTCCAAATCCACACTGGGGATGAACTCAACCCTGCACTGAACCATGGTTGAACAAATTGTCAGTTGGTATTTACGTAGGGGACTCGAATCATTCCAGGGTTTCTAAACGTGTGCGAAATGGAGTTCGCAACCATCCATAGTATTCTTAATATAAGGGGCTGAACACTACTCCTAGCATTCCTATGACTAAGTTGGTTTCAATGTACCCGAAAATCCAATTGACATGGCTTAACCCCTATTCATTCTTTGTTGGTTCGGACTGCATGGGGGATGTGCGCTCCCTGAAGGCAGGGGAGACGATCTTCCAGGAGGAGCTCTGAGCGTCGCGTCGTCGCCTTGCCGGAGACTGTAGGTCCGTAGCTCCATTCATGGGCGCACAAATACCAAAAAACAGAGGTCCGGGGTCTCCAGAGATATTTCTGTCTTAGATCTTGGTGTTTGCTGACTGATTGGTCAGCCACCTTAGTGTTTGGCAACCCATCGAGCTGGCATGAATCAGGTAGCCCTTGATTGGTGGCGTGGATTGGTGGTTTGGGGATTGAACCTCTTCACAGGGTAAATGGGCAGCCACCCCCGGAACACCTCCAAAGCAGCGGGGGAAGCTGAATGAAGGAGCACCTGCCTGGACCCTCAAACTCCCACAAACAAGTTGAAATGCGCCAGCCACAAGTAAAACTCCCGCACAAAAGTTGAAATCCACCAACCATTGGTTTGAGTTGCTACAACCCTTTGTACAAACAAGTTGAAATGCACCAGCCACAAGTAAAACTCCCACACAAAAGTTGAAATCCACCAACCATTGGTTTGAGTTGCTATAGTCCTTTGTACAAACAAGTTGAAATGCACCAGCCACAAGTAAAACTCGCGCACAAAAGTTGAAGTCCACCAACCATTGGTTTGAGTTGCTATAGTCCTTTGTACAAACAAGTTGAAATGCACCAGCCACAAGTAAAACTCCCGCACAAAAGTTGAAATCCACCAACCATTGGTTTGAGTTGCTATAGTCCTTTGTACAAACAAGTTGAAATGCACCAGCCACAAGTAAAACTCGCGCACAGAAGTTGAAATCCACCAACCATTGGTTTGAGTTGCTATAGTCCTTTGTACAAACAAGTTGAAATGCACCAGCCACAAGTAAAACTCCCGCGCAAAAGTTGAAATCCACCAACCATTGGTTTGAGTTGCTACAACCCTTTGTACAAACAAGTTGAAATGCACCAGCCACAAGTAAAGCTCCCGCACAAAAGTTGAAATGCACCAACCATTGGTTTGAGTTGCTATAGTCCTTGGTACAAACAAGTTGAAATGCACCAGCCACAAGTAAAACTCCCGCACAAAAGTTGAAGTCCACCAACCATTGGTTTGAGTTGCTATAGTCCTTTGTACAAACAAGTTCAAATGCACCAGCCACAAGTAAAACTCCCGCACAAAAGTTGAAGTCCACCAACCATTGGTTTGAGTTGCTATAGTCCTTTGTACAAACAAGTTGAAATGCACCAGCCGCAAGTAAAACTCCCGCACAAAAGTTGAAATCCACCAACCATTGGTTTGAGTTGCTATAGTCCTTTGTACAAACAAGTTGAAATGCACCAGCCACAAGTAAAACTCCCGCACAAAAGTTGAAGTCCACCAACCATTGGTTTGAGTTGCTATAGTCCTTTGTACAAACAAGTTCAAATGCACCAGCCACAAGTAAAACTCCCGCACAAAAGTTGAAGTCCACCAACCATTGGTTTGAGTTGCTATAGTCCTTTGTACAAACAAGTTGAAATGCACCAGCCACAAGTAAAACTCCCGCACAAAAGTTGAAATCCACCAACCATTGTTTTGAGTTGCTATAGTCCTTTGTACAAACAAGCTGAAATGCACCAGCCACAAGAAAAACTCCCGCACAAAAGTTGAAATCCACCAACCATTAGTTTGAGTTGGTATAATCCTTTGTACAAACAAGTTGAAATGCACCAGCCGCAAGTAAAACTTCCGCACAAAAGTTGAAATCCACCAACCATTGGTTTGAGTTGCTATAGTCCTTTGTACAAACAAGTTGAAATGCACCAGCCACAAGTAAAACTCCCGCGCAAAAGTTGAAATCCACCAACCATTGGTTTGAGTTGCTATAGTCCTTTGTACAAACAAGTTGAAATGCACCAGCCACAAGTAAAACTCCCGCACAAAAGTTGAAATCCACCAACCATTGTTTTGAGTTGCTATAGTCCTTTGTACAAACAAGTTGAAATGCACCAGCCACAAGTAAAACTCCCGCACAAAAGTTGAAATCCACCAACCATTGGTTTGAGTTGCTACAATCCTTTGTACAAATAAGTTGAAATGCACCAGCGACAAGTAAAACTCGCGCACAGAAGTTGAAATCCACCAACCATTGGTTTGAGTTGCTATAGTCCTTTGTACAAACAAGTTGAAATGCACCAGCCACACGTAAAACTCCCGCACAAAAGTTGAAATCCACCAACCATTGGTTTGAGTTGCTATAGTCCTTTGTACAAACAAGTTGAAATGCACCAGCCACAAGTAAAACTCCCGCACAAAAGTTGAAGTCCACCAACCATTGGTTTGAGTTGCCATAATCCTTTGTACAAACAAGTTGAAATGCACCAGCCACAAGTAAAACTCCCGCACAAAAGTTGAAATCCACCAACCATTGGTTTGAGTTGCTATAATCCTTTGTACAAACAAGTTGAAATGCATGCATCAACTCGCGCACAAAAGTTGAAATCCACCAACCATTGGTTTGAGTTGCTATAGTCCTTTGTACAAACAAGTTGAAATGCACCAGCCACAAGTAAAACTCCCGCACAAAAGTTGAATTCCACCAACCATTGGTTTGAGTTGCTATAATCCTTTGTACAAACAAGTTGAAATGCACCAGCCACACGTAAAACTCCCGCACAAAAGTTGAAATCCACCAACCATTGGTTTGAGTTGCTATAGTCCTTTGTACAAACAAGTTGAAATGCACCAGCCACAAGTAAAACTCGCGCACAAAAGTTGAAATCCACCAACCATTGGTTTGAGTTGCTACAATCCTTTGTACAAATAAGTTGAAATGCAGCAGCGACAAGTAAAACTCCCACAGAAGATTTAAATCCACCAACCATTCGTTTGAGTTGCTATCATTATTTTTGCAAACAAGTGGAAATGCACCACCAACCACAAGTAAAACTCCCACACACACACACAAGTTGAAATCCACTAACCAGTAGTTTGAATTGCTATAATCCTTTTTACAATTGAAATGCACCAGCCGCAAGTAAAACTCCCACAGAAAATTGAAATCTGCCAACCATTCGTTTGAGTTGCTATCATTTTTTAACAAACAAGTGGAAATGCACCAGCCAGTCGTTTGGTTTGTTCTGTTTTCGCATCCCATTTCTCAGTCGGAATTTTGAGGCTCGGTCCGGGCGGCCACGTCTCAGCCTCCGCAGGCTGCGGTGGTGGACAGCGGGGCCCGGAAGGTGACGTCGCAGGTCTTCCTGACGGAGGCCAAGGAGCCGGCGTGGGCGCTGATGGCGCAGGCAGGTGCCGCCATGTCGGTTTAGGGGGATGGGTTTCCAGTCTTGTGCCAGATGGCTTGGTTTGTCGGGCGGTGGGTGGGTGGGTGGGTGAGTGGGTGGGTGGGTTGGGGTGGGTGGGTTGGGTTGGGTTGGGTTGGGTTGGGTTGGGTTGGGTTGGGTTGGGTTGGGTTGGGTTGGGTTGGGTTGGGTTGGGTTGGTTGGTTGGGTGGGTTGGTTGGGTGGGTGGGTGGGTGGGAGGGTGCGTGGGTGGGTGGGTGGGTGGGTGGGTGGGTGGGTGGGTGGGTGGGTGGGTGAGTGGGTGGGTGGCTTGGAGTGGGTGGGTTGGGTTGGGTTGGGTTGGGTTGGGTTGGGTTGGGTTGGGTTGGGTTGGGTTGGGTTGGTTGGTTGGTTGGTTGGTTGGTTGGTTGGTGAGTGGATTGGTGGGTGGGTTGGTGCTTGGGTCGGCTGGTAGGTGGCTGGTGCTTTGTTCGGTGGCTGGTGGCTGGGTTGGAATTATCCTTCCTCAGGCGATCAGATGTCAGGTAAGTGCCTAGTATCCATGGTCGTAACCCACAGAAAGGGGGCATGCTATAATGGTAAGTTGGCTGTGACCGTGGTTGCCATCCACGTACTGGTAGTTGTTTTTTTTTTTTTTTTTTCCCGCAGGGTTGGTGCGTCTTGATTCACAGGCATGTGTTTCTTGTTGTTATCTTCCTTTGGTGGATTTTGTTTGGTCCGCTTCCCTTCAGAGAGGTTGGCCTCTTCTCAGAGGTTTTTCCGCGCAGGGCGAGCCATAGGCGACCATCCTGTTGATTCTTTATAGTTGTTCGCCAGATTTCATCTGGATGCCAAATAAAACACACGAGCGGTTGCCTCAAGCAAACTCACACGAATTGGGCGCATGTCGCTGCCGTGTTTGAGGGTTTTGCAGAGAAGTTGGTCGAGCACGACTGGAGGGGGGTCCACCATGTTGAGGCAGCCCATTATTTTCAGAAGGAGCCCCCGAAACTTGGGGTGTGTGTTTTTTGATGGCACCCCTTGATGGACCACCACATCCATGGACACCACACCTATTGGCCATATCCAATTCTGAGACATGCACTTCCTGAGTTGGACTTGACGCTTTTTGGGTTTGGACCAAATTGCACTCAACAAGTTGCATTTGTTTTGCCTGTTTTGATCGGAGAGGCCAAACCCACCGGCCAGGCGGTCCAGCTCTATTTGGGCCAAGGCGACCCAAGGCACCCGGCCGGCACTGCGCACCGGCGCTGGCGGCTACTGAAGCTCAGCCAATGGAACAGTGAGGGGTGCAAGGGATATCGCATGGGACATGGGCGTGGGCCCGTTTTTTTCGGGGTGCCCTTCTTGGGGATGGTTTAAAGACAAACCAAAAGGCGAACCAGTTGCGGGGGTTCCCCTAAAACAGACACACGCATATAAGGGCAGTAAAAGAGGTATTCTGTTTTTGAGATATGGGCCGGCATTCATATGTTTTTTTTCAGAGGCATAAGCTTTCTGACATAGCCCTGTGAATTCCCTTGGCTGTAGGCAATCCTGGTCGCGCGAGCCTTCAAAGGCTAAAAGGACACTACAAGAGTTGCCTACTTGCGGTACTCGTATTTGGGATCCATTAGGAGGTACATACGAGGTGGAAACGGAGTGTAGAAGGGCAAATGCTGGTGGAACTGCCCGATTCTGGAGCTTTGGAATGAAACCAACCAGAAAAGGGGAGAAGGGTACGGACTGAAGGAATATGTGGCCAATGGCCCATACAACTTCGCTTAGAACTTCTGCCCAGAGCCAGGGGGAACTGTCCCGATGGGTCTCGAGGGGCTGGCTTCCTGGATGCAAATGAAGCTGGGCACCAAAGAAGATGAGGATGAGACCACAGCTAACTTGTTTTTCCAAGCAGGGGTTTCTGCTTTGTCCCCGCATTTTCTCGAGAGGATCAAAAAGCAATCCCAGATCTGCAAAGCAAGTGTTTGATTAGGTACTGTAGCAAACAAATCCTTAAAAAGGGTCCCAGCAAAATGAGACACCAGTATCAAAACGAAATGATGGGGAACAGGACGAAGCAAAGGGAAACGCAAAACGCTCTGGCGTACGGTGTTTCTTTCTTTAGTTATCTATTTCAATGGTTTGTGAAAAAAAAAACGGTTTGGTATCTTGTTTGGCGTCCTCAACTTTAGTTTGCCCATGCTGCATTTTGAGTCATGCCGCCCATTGCTTCTTTGCCTGGCAACCAGGAAGTCCTTCTACCGCCCAGCAGATCGCGCGGATGAGCCGGAGAGAGCCACGTACCAAAGGCACGCAGAGCAGATGCACGAGATGATGGGGCCGGACCTGCATGAGCAAGTGAAGGTGAGTGTCGGGGGCTTTGATTTAGGTGCAGAAATCCATGCATTTGCCTGTTTCATAGCACTCACCATGATAAAGGTCCTTTACTTGAAGATCCCTTAATTCAGCTTTTGGAATTATATAGTCAAGATTGCAGATGCAGGATATGAACAAATGTGCAGTATTACTGGTAGTCTATTGTGGCAACCCCTGAGCTCACCACAAAGCATAGTCGTTGTGTGGTAACTACCAGGGACTGAGCAACAAGTATGGTAGTGTTAGCTTGGGGAGAAGGGGCGTCAACGCCAGGTCTCCATTGTGGGGCCTTAAGCCAAACAAAAGTAAAAAATGCGCTTTCGCGTCTGCACAACTTGTCACATGTTTACTCCACTACAGATGAACACGGAACCCAAACAAGTCACCATTTGCTTAGGAAGCTCCTGGGCAACCCCCCCTTTTGCTTTCCATGTTAAGTCCTAGTTTAGTATTGGATTCAGGTTGTCTCTAGATAGGTAAACCCAAGGTCAGTCGAGGCTTCATATCTCCCCGCACCGTGGATGCCCGAACAAAACCGCGGGTTGAACAAACTCGCTCTGGTGGGTGGGAAGTATACCCAGTTGCCCAGTGGAGTAGCCAGCTAGGTGGACTGACACCCCCGCCAAACTATATAGCAGCCAGGCGTGCTGATTCTTGAGGGCACCTTTTTTGGGGCGGCTTTAAAGGGAAACCAGCAGAATTACCAACTTTTGCTGGGTCCATTTGGCGACAAACCCAGATATTCCCAGCAGATTGTTGCCCAGCACATTTGTTAACGGCCCTGAACTGTCCTGTTCCCTAGTCACTAGTCGTGAGGTCAAGGTCCCCCATCCTTTCTTCCTCCAAACCAGAACTGAAGATGGATTTCAGACCTTTGAGAAACACTCACATGACATGGGCCCTGCAGGTGGAGGTCCTGGTGGATTTGCTGGAGGTGATCCGACTGGACGCACACACCGTCCGCGAGCCGAGCCAGTCGAGTCAAAAGCGACATGGCCTGGGCCTGTGCCTTGGTCTTTGCCTGAGATTCGGTGGATGCCGATTCCTGCCATATTGCAACCCAACCAGCGAGAAACCCTGGGATTTGCAGGGCTTCCAACGTGTTCCCTACTTGCAATACTCAGGGCATTGTTTTCTTTCTTGAGTTGGCGCCCTCTGTTTGGTGGTTAAAACCGAACCCGTTTCCGGGGTCCAGCCTTTAACAAAAACAGACACAGATTGATGTTATAGTGCAGTTCCGTGTTAATCTGGAGGCTGGAAAGAGTAAGATGTTGATAGGATGAGTGGGCTTTCAGCCAGATGAGTTTAGGTTCTACTGGCTGCACCTGGCCAACCACAGCTGCTGGCCCAATGCATTCTTCCAGTCCAGCCGAAATGAGCAGGCGGGGTGAAGGGGTCATTTTGTTCTTTCAGGATGTTGGACTCGAACTGACGCCTCCTTGTTGTTTCCTAGGCGATCCTTTTCCGTCCCGTTCATTCCCAAAAGATGAGCCAAGGATTTGTTTGGCTGAAGGCGAGCTTAGAACCAGCTCCAAAGTGGTTGGTGGACCTCTTGCTCCCCGGATGAGGTCCACCAACGGGTTCCCCGTTAACATTTCAACCCTGTCAGGAGGACTATGCCACCATGACTTTGTTGGCCTTACGCCCGCTCGACCCCGGCGATGAGGTGCGGAACCGGGGTGTCTCACTTGGGCTAGCTTCGAATAGCCTACGTCAGACAAGTAGGCTAGAACCCTTGTAACCCATCTAACTGCAGTTACCAACCATAAATCATATCACCACGATGGTCATAACCTTAGTGGGTTGAACATCCGCGCACAGCCAACGCAAATACCACATCCCAGGAGTTGACCCAGTTGCGACCAACACCCGAGTCCAGGCGATTGGGTGATGAGGTTGGACAAGTTTCTCAAGACTACCAAAATCACAAGTAGGTGTAAATTCCACAAAAAGGGCTGGATGCATTTTTTGTGGATTTCACCTGCTCGTTCCCCTGCGGGTTCTTTTATTTTTGCTCTTTCAGTACTGTTGTAATATCCTGCAGGGCTGGATCCACAAAAATCGCGTTCAAGCTGCTTCCCATAGATCTTTTTTGGTGGGATATTTTCTGAGTTTGTGTTTCTCTTCACCCAGGTTGAACCAAGAGTTGATCCGCAAACTTGGCAGCCAACAGCCGTAGTGACTTGATAGCAGCCAGGTGGCCTTTCCACTTGGCCAAAGAAGTCGTTTCCTTGGGCCCTTCTTCGCAGATCCTCCTTGGCAGTCCCCACACCCCCCCAGTTTTCTCTGTCCGAATCGGACCCAAGTAATTGACTGAGGTCCATGTAGGCTGGGCGGGTTCGGGTGTGCCGGCTATATTAGAGTGACACAATGTTTTTATGTGTCTCCTTTTCGGAGTGTTAAAAGCTTGACCTTTTGGTTGTCAGCCTGAAGTTTGTTGTGGAACCCCTTTCCTCTTGCGGGGATTGATCGGCAGACATGACTCTGGCCCGTATGTGGGAGACACATGTAAAGATGGTGCTTTCCTCCCTGTTGTAGTTCTATGGAGCATGGCCAGTGGTACTCGTAAGTGTGATCCATTGTTGGTTCAGCAGCTGGAACGGAGTGTTTCGTTGCCAACCATACGGATTCCATTCCGTTTGGGTTCCGAAAGAAACTGAGCAAAGCCGCTGCTTTTGTTTTGGCATGCGGGTTTGGACATTCCAATTGAGGAATCGACCCGGGACCTGCTTGTTGCAGGCGAGTTCTAGAGTCTGTTTTCATAGGGTAGAGTAAATCTGAAGCAGAATCTGCAACACTAGGTCTTGAGACTTTGATTTCCTCAGCGGGCGGCGATCAGGGTTTACCTTTGGGCACTTTGCCGGGAAGCGCGGGGACCGCAAAGCGCTTTAGATGGACAAAATCCGCCTGGCACCAATTGGGATGGATGAAGCCCTGTGAATATTGGGTCAGACAACCTACGAGTTGGGGCGGGATTTTGTCCGTCCACAGTACCGTGGATGCCCTGCCATATTGCAAATAAACCAACCACACACCATGAAACTTTGCAGGATTTCCAACTTGTCCCCCTAGTTGCAATACTAGGGCACGCACACCATAAGTTTTTTTTTGCAGATGCGTGTTAATCTGAAGTAAAGAGTCACATGTTGATAGGAACAGTCGGCATCAACTGCAGGTTCCTCTATTTTCCCAAGGGGCGATGAACGGGGGGCTCGATCCCTAGGTGTGTATTTCCTACGTGGATGGGCGAACTCTCCTCAGCCCGCTGCATGTGAGACGGCGTGTCATCCAGCAGCAGTGGCTCGGTCTTATCTTGGAATGTGGTGCTCGTCGTGTTGTGTCAGTTCACTTTGTTTTGTTTGCTTTTTTGTGACGGCTTTCAACTTGGAACAGACGCACACAGCGCGTGCACGCACGCACGCACGCACGCGCACGCGCGCACGCACGCACGCACACGCACGCACGCACGCACGCACACGCACGCACACGCACGCGCACACACACACACACACACACACACACACACACACACACACACACACACACACACACACACACACACACACACACACACACACACACACACACACACACACACACACACAATCACACAACACACATCACACAATCACACAATCACACAATCACACAATCACACAATCACACAATCACACAATCACACAATCACACAATCACACAATCACACAATCACACAATCACACAATCACAATCACACAATCACACAATCACACAATCACACAATCACACAATCACACAATCACACAATCACACAATCACACAATCACACAATCACACAATCACACAATCACACAATCACACAATCACACAATCACACAAACACACACAACACACAAACACACAAACACACAAACACACAAACACACAAACACACAAACACACAAACACACAAACACACAAACACACAATCACACAATCACACAATCACACAATCACACAATCACACAATCACACAATCACACAATCACACAATCACACAATCACACAATCACACAATCACACACACACACACACACACACACACACACACACACACACACACACACACACACACACACACACAGTGAGCACGCGCACGCGCGCACGCCGCAAATTGCTGCTTTGCTAGCACGCCCATTGCTGGAACAAACGCGTTGCTTGATTCTCCAGGACCTTAAAAAAGCACCCCTTTGGCTGCAGTCCTCCTTTTAAACCAAGAGGAACATCAAGAATGACCCTGCTTTCTCAGCGGAAGCTTGACAGACCTTTTTGTCTCAGGTTTGGCTTTCGATGCACCTGCCCGCGGTGTTGCCAAGAGGAGTCTGCGAGCCAGACAAAGCGCGAGCGGATGCGACGGGCGGATTCGCGGCTAAGACGAGCTGTGTGGATCAATCATGAATTATAGTAGCAGTGGAACAAATGGTAGCAAACTAGGCTAGTATTTTGCTCGGTCAGAAGGAGACTTGACTTGAGACCAGGGTTTCCAGTTGTTTTCCGAAAGTGGGAGAAACCCGGGTGGCTGGTCTTGTGGATGGGCTGGCCTCGCTACACCGACCGGGTCGTACCCGTGATTTCGACCGAGCCTCGTGTTTCCTTTCGAGACTTACATACACCCAGAAGAATTGAAATTTGGAACCCTAGATGCTTGAGATGTTGAGAGATAGCGATTCATCTACTGCGCCTTGAGATTGGTTGGGCATGTTGGGCCTTTGTTTGACCCCAAAGTGGTGCCTTGGTTTATTTCTCATTTCCCCGGAAAGCCTCCACAAAGGCCTCAGTTTACGCAATGCGACTCGTCTTTAAGGGAGAGGTTTCTCGTTTTATTCCTTGGGCACATCCACCATGTGTTTAATTCCATTTTAGAGTTTGGCCATGTTGAATTGTTTCTTGGAAAACACTGCGATGGCTCTGTGGCGAGGCTTTCTGGGTGACATGGTTGCCAGGATTCCCAAGAGCATCCAATCAGGCCATGGCTGGTCTTTTGTGCCCGAATCGACCCATCAGGCCCTCGCGGAAGCGGAGGGAACAACTCAGAAATCTGTTCCAAGCTAAGAGATTTCTAGCCTGGGCACGTGAGGCAAGTAGTCGTATTAACCAGGGTAACAACCCAAAGACGGCAAAATTGGACCTATCTGGCCAAAAACGATGTCGAGGTTCGGGGAGGGTAATGGCGTTTCAGAAGCTGCCCTTATGTTCAGTCCATGTGCCCACGGTAAGTGGGCAAGGGTCAAGAACCCGAACTCGTAGAACCCTGTGCCGAACCATCCTGAGGCCTACCGTCTCGCGCGGCTCGCAGGCTTGGGTCTCAAAAGGGGACCTTGCCCATGTTTGGAGGGAGCCCGCTCTTGTGGCTTCGGATAAGGAAATCGCTCTCAGAAAAGACCCAGAACATTTGGACATTGTTCTTTACAAATCAGTTGACATTCCCAGTCGAGGGCTAAGAGTCTGTCGGATGTTTGGCCCTTGACCCTGAGGGCCCCTTTGATGTCTTCCTTTCCGAGGGATCGTTTGTTTGGCGCCGGTTCCATGCAAAAGCGTTGGTGCGAGAGCAGCGACTTGGTCCCTTCATGTGGAGGTCTCAAAATGATTTGTATCGGGGGCTGCCTTGAGCAAGATTGGCAATGATTCGTCCAAATAGGAATGGTTTCTTGTCTACTTGTTGTGCTTATGTACTGCTTTACCATCCGCTGACATGCTGCATCTTTATTCTCTGCATGGAGGTAGCGATGGCTTTTCTGAAGCATGTGCAGCGTCCTCTTTCAGTCCTTCGAATCTTTCGGCCCGCGATGTTGGTTTCCCTTAATAATGGGGTGAAGTCAGAAAGCTGTGGTTGCCAACTTGCGCAGAGACCAACGTCCCTATTGGCCAATCTAGCAAATTGGTGGTTCTATTCCCCGGTTTCAGAATAGGTTGCATGGACAATATGAACCTTCTAGCCACGTAGAACCGAAAGTCAACAGGTTTTGGGGCCACTTGAGCCTACCACATGAGGTGACGGCCAGTATCCTGTTGGTCCGCCCTCTCCGGATCCACCATTTAACACCCTTTGCGTTGGCATGTGGCCAGCGTGACGTGTGGGACTGATGTGGCCTGTACATTTCCTTCGGTTCTGTTTGGTTGCCTAGTGAGTGTGTCTGTAATGTCTGTGTGCAGTGTGTGTGTGTGTGTAATGTGTGTGTGTGTAATCTGTGTGTAATCTGTGTGCAATCTGTGTGTGATCTGTGTGTTTGTGTGTGTGTGTTTGTGTGTGTGTCTGTGTCTGTGTCTGTGTCTGTGTCTGTGTCTGTGTCTGTGTCTGTGTCTGTGTCTGTGTCTGTCTGTGTGTGTGTGTGTGTTTGTGTTTGTGTGTGTGTTTGTGTGTGTTTGTGTGTGTTTGTGTGTGTGTGTGTTTGTGTGTGTGTGTTTGTGTGTGTTTGTGTGTGTGTGTGTGTTTGTGTGTGTGTGTGTGTGTGTGTGTTTGTGTGTGTGTGTGTCTGTGTCTGTGTCTGGGTGTGTGTGTGTGTGTGTGTGTGTGTCTGTGTGTGTCTGTGTGTGTCTGTGTGTGTCTGTGTGTGTCTGTGTGTGTGTCCGTGTGTGTGTTTGTGTGTTTTCTGTGTTTGTGTGCGTGTGTGTCTGTCTGCGGCTTATTTGGAGGGTGCCTTAAAGCAACATGTCTTTGGTGGTTTAAGTTATGAAACATGTGCATTTCAACACTCGGTTCAACGTCCTCCAATGACTGTGCTGGTCTTCCCAGTACCCTTGGCGTCACTGGATGCAACCAAATTCAGTAGGGTCGCAACTGCCGCCCTCCGCCTTCGCCATGTTTCCGCAGGACCAGTGAGGTGCCTCTGCCTCTCATTGGGAAAAAGGCATAACAAGTTGGCGTCCTGTGAGCATCCTGGCGTTCAGAAGGCCTGGGTTTGCTCACACCCGTCTCTCCACTTAACTGCTACTGGGTTGGATGTTTAGACTTTTATTTTTTTGGGAAATACGGGTTTTTCACTTCATCCCCAAAAAGTTAAAACTTTTTTCAGGGGGGTCAACAACAACCAAGTCCAAAGCGGCGTTTTGTTTCTTAAATAGCACTGCAATTCACTTTGAATCCAAGGGGTATGAATGACGCCCTGCGGATCCAGGCCCCTTCGTCCAGGAACGCGCAATTCCTTCGTTGAAGCCCAGATCCCCATAGCATGGCCCTGGAGAACGTTATTGCAATTCATTCCCGGCGGCATATCACGGTTCCAACTCTGACGTGTGGCAAATATGCATGATACTATTGTGATCTATCGTGTTTCATTCATATATTGTCACATTATCACACTGTATAAATATATTACATTGAATTCTATAAATAATTTCATCATACGGATGGACTCATCCACGGCGCTTGGCACCAGTTGTATTGATGCTTTGTCAAGTATGCTCTTCGGGCTTCATCCATGGGTGCTGATCGGCGTACACAATATGTTTTGGGAAACGCATCATTGAATAGGGTTGGATGTATTAATGGGGGGAGCGAATTCTGAGAGATAGGTTTTGAGACGTTGGTTTGGCATTGTCGCGATCCCGATGAACCATGCTTATGCCCATGGGTCGCTGGTTGGTCAGAAGGCGATCCAAACGGTTGACACGTCGGGGTTGGAAACATATGCCTATGCATATGACAAGAAACCTCGATCACGGCGGCCAGCGTTCCTGGTAAAACAAGGACGCCAAACAACTTGAGGGGGTCCAAGTGTGTGCTGAGGAAGTACTTGGATCTCTTTTAACCCAAGCAGATATCCTCAGATTGTGCTTGCACCCGGCTGGAACAGCCACACAGCTGCCACATGCAACCGCAGCATTTGAACATCTCAAGCGGTCAAGGAGTGCAGCCATGGCTTCTCGAATGAAACGAGTTGCCCGCAGTCGGGGTTGGGGGTCGTAGATGGGGACTCCGTTGTGACCTTGGTTATAACCTACTTATTGAGAAGGTCGAACATCCAAGCAGCGGATTCCAAAGGAGTCGTAAGGCAACGCCCGTTTTGCATTCTCGTGTTTGAAGTGGAACATATCTCAGGTGAACATTTCTAAGGTATTTATAAATGAAATCACCGGGAAAGCTAAAGGGGCAAACCAGCTTTTCTTTCGTTTCCGTGGCTTACGTTAAAACAACCGTCCAGGTAATCTTTGGAGTTCCAGGCTACCCGGAGGAAGCACAGTCCTGGACAGTGATCGGTACGGTCTGTGTTTCACTTATGCAAAAATATACTGTTCCTTTTGCTGGAAGCCAGCGCAAGGGAGCACTTGGGTGATCGTTGAATTGCCTACTTGCTTCCTACATGCATCCCGACTACAGGAGGGTTTAACATCACGTTGCATCACCCAGTGTTGTGTTTCTCTCCAGTAGCGCCAGCGAGTTGTCAGTCCTTGAGATCGGGTCAGAATTGCTTGGCTCACAGTTGCAGACAGCTTACCAATTACCAGGGCCCCATTTCGGACCTTTTGGATTGCAAGAGGGAGTGGGGCTCATAGGGGTTATGTGGGTTCACACATTTCGCCGATCCTTATCGCTGCACTAGTGTTTTTGGAATCAGGGATCCGTGCATTTGCGAGGGGCACAACCACCTCAGGAATTGTCTCATGAGCAAGTAAATTTGATTGTGCCTATGTGCAAAAAGCTATTAGATTTTGACGAGTCGAAAACCATCGATCCGACCCTGAGGCTGAAGTCAGAGGCAGTTCTCTTGTTATTGTGCCTCTTCTAGTTTGAGGGTCAGGTACTTGATTTTGCCGGGAACCCCTCTAAAAATAAAAAGAAAAACAAAGAAGGAATCAACCCACTGGGAATCGATCTGGAAGGTCTGGAAGCATTGAACAATTATGGCCGCCGGGCAAGAGGGGGTAATAAAGTTGTTCAAAGAATCAGGTCACTTCAACAAAGAGGCACTTCAACAACGGGGCCTTTTGACAAGGGGGATTTGAACAAGGGCCGCCATAGACGCAATTGACTACGCAATCGATAAATCATCAGTGGAATTTCTGGAAAGTGCAAGTGTGCCGAAAAAGGTGTATTTCAGCAACAGGGGCATCATTTATTGGGCAATCACCAATTTGTGCGGGGCAGTTGAAGGTCCAGGTATCAAAAACAAGTTCCCCTTGTTCCCCATGGACATCGGTCTCGTCGATCGCCCGATGGGTTCGATCGAGGCGGGCTGCGACATGGAGAGCCAGATGAGCGGCATCAGCCCGCAGCAGGCGTCTCAAAATGGGCGGCGCATCTTGTGTTTGTTAGTTAAAAGGTTTTTCTTTTTGGGCTGGCTTAGGGAACAAAAGGCCCCCCACATCTTTTGTTTGTCAACAGTTACCATTTTGTTGGGGGGTTGGTTAGGGAAGTTGACCTGGATGGCTCCTGTTGCACTCTTTGTGCGGTCAAAGGGTTGAGGAACAGATCCCCATGGTCTTAGGGGCGTCGTTTCTTGGGGGAGCTACTCAGATCCGCTGGCCGTATTTGGGTCTGTCTTGTTTTCACGGTGCCCATTTGTTGGTGGCTTTGAAGGAAAACCAAGATCAAAGGGCTTGGGGGGGGCAACCTGAAAAAGACGAGCCATCTATTCTAGGTTCGGGGAGTGAAGATCTGGCTGTTCGATCAGTCCAGTCATGGCTGGCTTGTGTCTGGCTAAATTTAGGCGCTCTGGTTTCCAAGTTGCCTGCTCCTGCTTCTCCCTCAATCCTAAGAAAGCCGCAACAATTGTGGGATCCTAGTACGTGGAAAATAACTGAGGGGACCCAAAACCAAGTATAGTTGTCCTTTTCGCTTCCCTTTGAAAGGGGTACCACGGAGCCGAAGACTCAGCCGACTTATGGCTGGTGCGAAGGTTCCCTGGCCCAGGTCTTCCCGGGTCTTTTGAGGATGCCTTTAGGCCCCCAATTTTGATTCCATGTTTAAGGTAACCCCTAGGCCCGCTAGGCCCTAGTTGGGGATGTGGATTGGTTTGTGGATTTGAACCCCCCGGTTCTTGCGAAGGGTTCATGGGATCCCTAACCCCCAAGCCATAAACCACCGCCAAATAAAGGGAAGCTGAATGTTGGGGGTACCTCAGCTGCATCTGGAGGTTGCGGGAGCCTTACTTGGATGTTGTACAGTTCAGAAATTATATACTCTCCGGCAAGTAAACACGGAAGGGCAAATAACACCTTTTTCGGAGGAAACTCTTTCTCAGAGGCCTTCTCTGGGGTTGCATGTGAATCTTGGTCGTGGTTAGTGTGGTTAGCAAGTGGTGTTTTGGTGTTTGGCAACCACCTTTTGTTGTTTGGGACCTTGAGAGTGGTTGCTAACCTAAAATATATGAGGGCCTTTGCCCCCAAACGACCTTAAATCATCATGTCTTGGGCATTTGGGGGTATTGCCTGGTCTGAAACCGATATCACAACCTCACGCACGGAGGTCCATGGGTCAATCCCAAAAACGGCGCCAGGTTCGACTGGGCTTCATCCGAAAGGTCTACGGCATCGTTTGCGCTCAGGCCAGCTCCGCATTTCGTGGGGGCCAAGCGGGCCGATGTGGTTCTTCGGAGGGTTTCACAGATCAACCACCAGAAAATGGGTGCCTGGATCCTCAACTACCCATTAAGAAAGGGTTACTACCCCAAATTTTGGGTTGAATGCCCTTTCTATGACCATGGGGGGGTCTGGGTCTTGTCCCTCGTGACCGAGCTGCTGGATTGGAAGCGCAAACTACCGTCTCAGTTGTTAGGCGAATCCACAAGTCGATATTTGGTTCCCCAGGTCGGATTCCCGCTTTTGCTCATCGTACATTTGTTTGGGGCAACTGAGAACAACTACCACCATGGATCTCAACTTCTAAATGGGTAGCTGACTCAGATGCGACATTGCCGACCCTGACAGTTGTCCACCATCCCGAAGGGGCCCCTTCCCATTGGAATTCCAAAGGAACTGCCTGGTTTCCTGATCAAAGCCAAGAGCAAAAAGGCAGTTGTTAGTCGACTATAGTCGGTATCATCTGCGTTACCAATTATATCATATATGGACACAAGGGTTCCTCGAAGCCGGAAGTTGACTTCCCATTTCCGAAATGGATGCTGGGTTTCTTTTGTTTTGTCTAACGGCCCTTGCCCATTCTAGTCCTTGGAAACGCCCAATTGGTTTTGTCGCATCGGGGAACTCCCAAAAAGCAATAGATCTGCTTGAGTCTGGCTTGCAAACAAAGGACATTTTCCGAGCCTCATCATACGTTCTGGCCAAATTAGGATGCTCACCCATGATGAAGGTACCTCACTTGAATTGTGGATTCAGAGTAGAAGATTTGCCCAGATCATACCGGGTTTCCGGTGAAGTGAGACAGACATCCGGGCAACATCCAAGCTACCGAGCCTCGAAACACACGCTCATTTCCCAGACCCATCATTTCCCAGACCACCAGTGCTGTTTTTTCTTGTTCCCCTCTTCTTGAAAGGTTTCTTCCCATGACAGAATCGTGAGCCACTTTCTGGGGGTGCCCTGTTTGCCCATAAACCGCTAAGACAGCACCCGGGCGGGGACCCAATTCAGGTCACTGCCACGTCCATCTTCGCGGGCGCCTGCGTGGCTGGGCCGTTGCGAGAGCCCATGGTCGCCTTTGCCCAGCACAGGCCTTGCCAAGACGTGCGGAATGGGCGCATCTTGTTTTAATACTGTGGCTGGACGGAATCCATCGCACCACTTTGAAACAGCAAGAAACGATGATGTGTTGGTGTTTACACGAGAATCAGACCATTCCAGGGTTTCTTAGGTAGTGCAGGATTTTGTCCATCCACAGTATCAACACGGCACCCTTGTTGGGTGGGTATAAAGGGGAACAAGAAGGAATACCAGAAATTGTGAGGGGCCCCCATTTTGAGACAGTCACTAAGTTTTGGCTTTTGGAGGTATGGAACTCAGGCCTCAACCCAAAGAGATGGAAAAGCAATACCTGACATATTTTGCGGGTGTTGCGGCGTCATTGTCCCCAACGTCAGTTGAACTCGACGATCTCCTTGCCGGAAGATGTTGTACCGCATGCCAGCAGCTACGCCTCAAGCATGCCCAGGAAAGGGGGATCAAGGGCCATTGTAGATATGTTGAGTCAACTGGACAAAGTTGCAACGCCCACCCCTCTCCTTCAACTTGAGCACGCGGTGCCTAAGCTTATACCTACCAAATCATTATATCACTTCCCCTTTTATTCAATTCTTAATCCGGTTGACCTTCATCTTGAATGTCTCTAAACCTCTGCCATGTGCGGCTGGACCCATGTGCCCTTCGGCTGGATGTCCACCTCCCCAGCGGCCTCCGCTTCTCGGGCGCCTGGCCGGCCGCGGCGCGGGTGGCGGCGCTGCAGGCGGCGGCGCAGCGGCACTTCGCGCGGGGCCGCCTGGCGCTGGTGGCCCAGGACGGGCGGCGCCTGGAGCCGGCGGCGAGTCTCAGCAAGGCGCTGGAAACGGGTCGGTTTGGGGCGAAATGGGTGGCGCGTCTTTTAAGGAGTTTATACCATTTTATACCTTTTTGTTTGTTGGTATAGGTTTTGAAGGGAAACCGGCAAGCCAGTCACCATTTTAGGGGGTCCCCTAAGGCCAGAAAGCGCGCTTCCTATGGTGTGATATTGAAAGAGGAAAAAGGGGGGAACTGCTGTGGAGACGAAAGGAAGAAGGTTCCAAGCGATTAGGTTCGCCGTTAGGTGTAACAAGCTGCGCAAACAGGGTAACCAAGGCCAGCTTCCAGCGCTGAACTCGTGACAAGCGTGGCCGAAAAGACAATTCCCTGGTTGCCCGCAGAAATGGTTCAACCATGTGACCAGGGGTCCGGGGCCAAACCTTCGAGGTCCTTCCAAGAGGTCACCCAACCCCAGCCTGCGCCTCCCCGATGTGAAGGAGGGGCTGCGGGATGGTGACGCAGTGACGGCCATTGCGCAGCCTGTGGAAGTTGCGGCCACCAGGTCGGCCTTCGCCCTGTGCATCCGAGGCGGGAATTCGGCTTGGAATTCGAACGGTGCGGGTTGGGGGTGGGTGGTTGTCGGCGCCAAATTGCCCGCTCAAAGCTCGCTACTTGAGTTCAGGACCTTCTTTCGTTTTCTGTTTGTTCTCGGGGGGGGGGGGGGGGGTTAGTTTCAAGTCCACTCATGATCAGGAAGTGAGCAAGGGGAAAGCGGGTAGTGACCCGGCTTTGGGCCTCAAAATCCAATTCACCCAGCAACATGCATGGGACATGTCAGCCAGTTCAACAATTCACGGAGCAAAGAAGGAACCTCAAGGCGGTTGTGCAACTAGCGTCCCATGTCGGCTGGCTCCACACTCTCCCGGGACCTCTGTTCCACGGGGTTGGCCCGAGGTTGTTATCGATCCCATGATCGCTGCTTTTGTCGGTGAGCTTCCTTTTGGAGACCTTGAAAAGCTGTTTGGTGTTTCCTTGCCTGAGCTTTCAGGATTCGCGGGAAGCAAGCTTCTCAACCAAGGAATGCGGGAATTCAATAAAAACCTTTTTGTTCAGCCCGAGTAGGTTACATGGTTATGAGGGGTTGTCCTGCCGCGGAAACGGGGCAAGGAGGGGGTCAAGAGAAGAAAACTAGGATACATGATTAATTTTGCCAGTTGCTAAAAGTGAAACACACACACACATCCAAGTAACATAGCTGCAACTACTTCGGGACACCGGATCAATATCTGGCCCTTGACATTTTTCTTGGAGTCACTTCAATCCTGAAGGCCTTGGTTTGCCTTCTTGGGCCTTAAGTCTACGCCTCCGGGGAGGGTGTTGGGGCTCGCGTGCAGGCGGCAAGGCAATTACCTGGGGCCATGCAGAAAATGGCGGAGACAGCAGCAAGGTGCAAGAGCAGCTAACGCAGGTCCGCCAGATCCAAGCGACGCAACTTGGCCGTATCTGGAGACACAAATAGCCCACAAGGCTTTATCTCCACATGAAATCGAATCCGGATCAATCAGTGCTTAGTATTTGTTCCAGACCTGTTCCGATTCCGGCGTGAAGTTCAGTAGCTGTACTGAGCTTTGTTGCCCAAGCACGAGCTGAAGCGTGCTGGCAGCACACACCGCACATACCCAAAGCACCCAATCCCGAATTGCGGGTGATTCCTAAAACTTGGTTCAAAAGAAGAGGCTATAAACAGGGCCTCGTTGCGGGGTCAGATTTTATTGGGGTCGGGTGATCTTTTTGATTGAAACAGTTTATGTGTTTAAAATAGATATATTAACAACAAATGCAAAGCAAATTGAGGAAACAGAAAGACACATGCAGGCAATCAGCCTTTGCGGCGATCCTGAGCGACGGCACGGCGGTGACGTGGGGCGACCCAGAGAGCGGTGGGGACAGCAGCCGGGTGCGGCACCGGCTGCGTGGGATTTCTCAGATCCAAGCCTCGAGCTGGGCCTTTGCGGCGATTCAGGCGGGCCCAGGCCGTTTTTTTTTTTTTTGTCTGGTAGAGAAAAGGCGGGCTCTCCATGCATACTGTACGGTGCGTTATTTGGGAATCCTTTTCTTGTTTCATATTTTTGGGAATTATGCGGGATTGTTGTAAAAGTGAAGGTGTTTTGTTTGAAGGTGCTGTTTTTAAGGTTAGTGCAAGGGGAAATCAAAGGGGTCTCCAACCCAAAGTGATTCTGTATTTGCGGGTATATTCTCTTCTGTGTACCCCAGATGTGGCAAGATTGCAAGATGTGCTGCATTTGCTTTCCTTTTTTTCCGGGAGCGAACTTTCTACCATTGTGTCTGCTTTTTTGGAGCAACTAGGAGGATGGCGGAGTGGTCACCTGGGGCAAAACGTCGTCTGGAGGCGACAGCTGCGAGGTGGCAGACCAGCTGACGCGGGTTCAGCAGATCCAGGCGACTGAAGGGGCCTTCGCTGCCATCAGGGACGATGGCACGGTGGTGACGTGGGGTGACCCGGACATCGGGGGCGACAGCTGTCAAGTTCGAGAGCAGCTCCGAGGTGTCCGGCAGATCCAAGCGAATGATCGAGCCTTTGCGGCGATTTCGGAGGATTCGGTGGTGACCTGGGGCCATCCCAAGCGAGGAGGAGATAGCCATGGGGTTCAAGAGCAGCTTCGAAACGTCAAGCAGATCCAGGCGACTTGGGGCGCGTTTGCGGCTGTAAAGGGTGATGGCACTGTGGTGACCTGGGGCGATCCAGGCATTGGCGGTGACAGCAGCCGGGTCAAAGCGCAGTTGACACGGGTCCAACAGCTCCAAGCAACTTGGCTCGGCGCATTTGCGGCGATCCGTCACGATGGTTCGGTGGTGACTTGGGGGCATCCCAGGTATGGGGGCGACAGCAGCCAGGTTCGAGAGAAGCTGACCAGTGCCACTGGGTGCAATCAACAGCACAGCTTTATCTTCCCCGAAACTGAAAGACACCAACAGGGGATTGTTAATTTGTCATTTTGAACTCCTATATTTAACACCTAGGAGCAAACCAAAGGGGACTGATATTTGCATAGTTTGTTCAGACAGTTGTTTGGCACCCAGGTTAGGAGCCTGCAAGCGACTCATCGCGCTTTTGCGGCACTGCGGGATGATGGCACAGTGGTGACCTGGGGCGAGCCGCAGTCAGGCGGTGACTGTGTGGAACGGCTGAGTGACGTCAAGCACATCCAAGCCAACGATCGCGTCTGGGTGTCAAATGACCCTCAACTCACTTGCCCAAAGCCGAACTTATATATAGCCTGTTGGTCTCCCTTGTGGGTCTTATTTTGTTTAGCGCCCCAAAAGGTCAAGCTTTCATTTCTGGGTCCGTTGGGCAACTGAGTCTATTGTTCAAAGAAGTAAGAATCACGGAATCAGAGGGTTTGGGAAGACTACCATCTTGGACAATATCTTCACTTCCATGAGTGTTGAACAAATGCTACCCAATTTCTGCAAGCATGAAGAAGCACACTTGAAAGGAATCCCTGAGCTGCCCTTCACCCCAAGCCCTGAAGGACTCCAAATAAACTCTGAAGGAAACTCTGAAGCAAACCACAAGGGTGACAAATAGTCCACTTGAAGGGGCTGGATACTTAAGTGGCAAACCATGGTTGAAAACCTCTCACAGGGTTGAATTTTCTGAATGACGAGTTTTTAGCAGGGTGTTTAACCACTTACGAATTCTCCTGCTCTTTGCACCGTGCAACGTCCCTAACCCTATCTTGGATCCATTTTTTGGTGGGACTGCCTGGTTTGACAAGTGTTGCAAGGTCTGTCTTTATGTGAGGCTTAGTTCCCTTTTTGGGGGTAAAGAGAAAACCGAAAGGGAGCGAAGCCATTGGGGGGGGGGTGTTATCCAGTATTCCGTTTTCAGACCGTTGGCTTCACTGAGGAGCCTTCGCTGCTCTGGTGGGTGATGGTGCCGTGGTGGCGTGGGGGGATGTCAAGCCGGTCGCAGAGCATCTGACGCAGGTGGGGGGAGGGGGGCAACAAAATCATGGTCTTGGATGTGTCAAGCGACTTAGGTAAGTAGGTTATAACCAAGCAAGGATACAACAGGAGGGTAACCAGGCTGGTTCTCACCATGGCTGTAGTTACCTATCAAGTAGGTTGAACATCCATCTTGCCCAATGGAGCAAGCTCTAATGTTGACCCCGGCAAATCTCAGTAGAAACCAATTTGTTGCAGTGTGGCACTTTCTCAGGAAGAAGTAGGTGGGGCATCAAAAACAATCCCGAGAACGACGCACTTCGGAACGGGATGCTTCATGGCGGCCTCCGAAAATGAACGTAGGAAGGCGCGCAAACATGCTTATTCCTGTTGGCTGCGTCCAAGACGTTGGCATACCTTTTGCAACTTGCAAAGCAACCTGCCAGTGATTCTGTTTTGAACGGACGCTCTCGGCTTTCACCCCCTTTTTGCTAAAGGGGGGTCCCTTTAACTTAGTCTCCCTTTTTCTCTCATCAGAGCTTCAGTTCTTGCGTGGTTGGGAGCTCAGAGGTTCACAGCTCCAAAGTGCCCCTGGCCCCAAAAAGGGGACAGAGGCTGCCCAATTCCCACATGGAGGGGTCCTCAAAAACCGGGCCCTTCCTGATTTTCCTTTTGCTTTGACATGGATCAGCCAAAGGCGACTGCATTTTTGAAGATGGATGCTCTGCCGATGCAACCAACGCGAATCGACCTGAATGACCTTGTGGTTTCCCTGATGGCGCCAGGGAAGAAACACTTGCGGAGATAACATGTTCACAAACCCTTTCTGGATCCAAACTGGGCAACTGAGTCGCCACTGGGTGCCAGGTGCAGCAGATCCAAGCGACCAGCTTCGGGGGCTTTTGCGCGATCCGATCTGACGGCACCTCGGTGGCCTTCGGCCACTGCGCGGTGGGCGGGGATTGCGGCAAGGTGCAGCGAGAGCTGGATGCCTTGTAGCTGCAGGCGCGCAGCGTGGAAAACTGACTAGAGAACCAAGTTGCTGTTTTTGTCAGTCACTGTTGCTGATTTTTGGGGTAATTAAAGTGGATGGAACAAAATGCCGGAACTGGTGATCCAGGTGGGGCTGGTAGAATTTGTTGATATCAAGGACATCCTCTTAGTAACTTTAGTAGTCGCAGGGATGGCCCGTTTTTATCACGAAAAGGGTTATGCTCCACATCCATAGAGGTGCGATCAGAAGATGAGGAAGCCACATTCGGGACAGACTTTACTTGGAATCCCTTCCAGGGTTGGAAGAGGGCAAGGCTATTTTAGGAACGGTTTCCGGATCTTCATTCATGTGTAGTCCTAAGTCCGGATTTTAGGTCCCAACCTTGACACCTTTTTCCGTTTTTGACTGAGAGGCGCATCCTGAAAGGCAGAAACAAGTTCCAATTTTCAGCATGACATCCTGGTTTAGTTTACGCCCTTTTTGAGAGAAACAAATAGGAACCTCATGGTTCAACATTTGCTGCCATGTTGTGCGACTTTGACAATGGCGAACGTCCCTCTTTGGAACTGTGCGACGTCCTTTTCCAGAGGGCCTCGAGGATCCATGTTTTGCTAGGAGATTTCCCGAAATAGGGGAGGGCAAAAGACAGACCCTGCCAGGTTCGACACCACCTGTGGAACGTGCAGCAAATTCCAGGAGCTCGCCGTGCTTTTGCTACCATTCTAGACTCTGGAGCCGTTGTGACGTGCGACAATGCTGATGCCAGCGTCCAGGTTCCAGAGCAGCTACAGAATGTGCAGCAAGTTCAAGCAGCGCGCGGTGCTTTTTTCTACCATTTTAGGCTTTCGAGCTATTGTGACATGGGGTGATCCACGTCTCGGAGGAGATAGCAGCCAGGTTCAAGAGCAGCTAACGTGCAGCAAAATCGCTGCCATTCTAGACTCTGGAGCTGTTGTGATGTGGGGCAATCCTGATGGAGTTAGGAGCCAGGTTCAAGAGCAGCTCCCGGATGTGCAGCAAATCAAAGCTTCGCTTTCCGAGCCGCATTGCTTAGGGTCAGGCGTGGCATGGCGGTACCATCATAAGGAAGAACAAGTCTTGAAGCAGTGGAGGACCCTTCAACATGGTCTGTGAGTTTATTATTGTCGTTTCCATTTCCCGGCAAGATACTTCAGTGAGCAAGGGAATGCTTGGATGCAAGGGTCCGGCTGAGCGTCTGGGCCAGGAACACAATTCAAGGAAGGGAACAACCGAGAAAGCCTGGCCCGGGAATATGTTTATCCAACTCACCCAGCAAGCGGACCACGTCGTTCATTCAAGGGTGGCGACAAATATGGGTTTGACCATGTTGGACCCCAGAGAACTACCCAGAAAACAGGGATTTCACCAACCATAATTTTGGGGCTATGTTTTGCCATTGTTACGTTGGAGTTTTGAGGGTTTAGGTTTCCTTTTTCCTTCAGACCTGGGCGTCTGGTCTGGTTCTTCGTTTTGAGTTGGCACCCTGCCGAAGGCGGATTTCAGTTTCGAACCCGGCGGCATGGCTTGGTACTTCCGATCGGCAGTTCCTGTTCCTTGAAAAAGGGTATCTTTAGAGAGGCCAATTGATGGGACTTCCTCCCATTTGTGCGTATATATATATATATTACATTCCTTATGATTATTATGTTGTTTGATTGTGATTATTATGAGTATTATGATCATTATTATCATTATTGTTATCATATTATTGTAATGTCATTTTTAATGTCAACGTTATTGTTACTTTTATCATTATGATGATCATTAGTATTTGTTTATTGAATTACCATGATTACCACCATTGATATTATTCTGTGTGTGTAATTCTGTGTTTTGTGAGGCTCGGTAGCCTTTTAAGGCAAACCACATGGACAGCATGTTGCCTTCACTATTGTTTTGGGCTCCCCTATCTTGACACCCACCCATTGGGAAGACCGTGGCGTTTCCTTTGCGAGCGTGAAACGGGGTAAACAAATTGAGCGCCCCGTGTTGTTTGCGGCTTCATGGGTTTGTATCAACTCCAATTTCTCACTCATATAGGCGCACCTGTCACCTCTCGCTGTTGCTTTCTTCCGCCTTCCACTTCCCACTTCGTTTCGTTTGTTTCTTGATCGGTTCCGACAAAAAGGGGCTCGGGGGCTCTTGTGCTGGCCACTGGAGATGGTTGCAGGTGACTCTCCAGACGTTTCGGAGCACGCAATTCCGTTCCGCGTCAAATGGGGATGGGTCAAAATTAAACCACCAGAGGACCGCAGGTTTAAGTCCATGTTTCCATTAACCAGGGTTCTATTTTGGGTACCTATTTTTGACCCACAGCCAAATCGGCCGAAGCCTTCGCCAGGCCCGGGCTGCTGCAGTGGGGCACTTTGATCGCCAGTCTCTTGGCGCTGCTCCTCTGCCGAGTGCCGGAGCCCCGTGGTCCCGGGGAGGGGGGGACGAAAGGCTGGGTTTGTTTTGTATCCTTTCTGGTAGTCCATTGACCACACATGGACCACAAGCTTTGGTTGCTTCTTAAGTTGTAGGTCCTCACTCATGTAACTCAGCCCCAAAGAGGCTTCTAGATGTTTTGTCCACCAGGCTCACCGGGCAACTGGGGCCTGTTTGGTTTGGATGTTCCTAGGGCACAGTTTCCGCTTTTCTGAGACCTGTGTGTGTCCTCTTAGAATACTCAGTTGCCAAACCCTGTAAAAAAAACAAATAAAACACACATGAGGTTCAGTCAAGATTGGTCTGTTCAGTCGGAGCGACATGGGCGAACTCACGCCTCAATCGCGCACAACCAAAAGGTGACTCACACATTTCCCTATGCTCTCTTGGGGGGCATCAAGTAGTTTTGGCCACTTAAGGATGCTGAAGGCTTAAGCACTCCTATGGTTTTTACCATTCGACCAGCTTGGTAAGTCTTCTGGATGGTGCTCATTGGTTAGTGCTTTGGTTCACCTTTTTGTCAGAGGCACGACTTGAGAGAAACAAGTCCTGCTTGCTTATTCCAAGGGGAACTGAGAGGAACAAATGTGGGATATTGCGTGTTGTCAGCATGACCCCTTGGGCTGCCATTTCAGAAATGGATTGGCTTTGTTGTGTGTTTCCCATTGATCCGAGGTGACCTCTTTTTTTCCTACGTTGGACAGGTTGGTTTCATGCCCAAAGACAATGAAGCCTTCTGTTGTTGGATCCGGACAGGGGGTTACATGGTGCATGCCCTTTTGCCCGCACCTTACACATCCTTGCGCATACGCGGGCTTTTGTCCCTGGGCAGCCTGATGGATATAGCCGTTCTCCCCCGGGAGCGAGAACCACTTTTTGCCACTGAAGTGTGTGTTTTTTTCATCAATTTCGAAGAACAACGAACAGTTTGAATTTTCTCCTGATTATCTTCAGCCTTTGTTGCAACGTTCTCATGTTGTCAAAACCAAGCACCTGGAGTCTCGCGCTACCTGTAAAAACAAAATTTCACCCCCTTCGTTTGGGGTAGCAACTCATGTTTAGCGGTACTTCGAGGGTCCAGGTGCTCGGTTGTGGTTCGGTGGCCGATCGAACGCGCATCCAGGGGCAAGGACCGATACCCCCTGAACCTGGTGGGCCTTGGTCTTCTCACCTCGGCGGGGGTCCCAGGCCACGCGCAAATGCTTTCAGCGGGCCCCCAAGAAGTGACATGAAGTGACCAAATGGAACCATGGCAAAAAGTGGGGATTTGGAGGTTGTGGGTAGGTATGACTTGGGAATCGGGTCCTTTGTTCCAGCGGATTTGAGACGACCTCCTTGAAATTGGCATGTGGTTTTGGGATGAATCCCATTTACGCTACCCGGGGGAAAGGGCTCTGGTTGAAAAGAGCTGCACATGCGCAAGATCATGTACTGAGCCTTTTAGTAGCAGTGTTGATTGGGGTGTTTGAGGGACACACCCGGCTGATGCTCTTTCTGCCTCCAATCCTTCCTCCCTTCCTCCCTTCCTCCCTTCCTCCCTTCCCTTCCTCCCTTCCTCCCTTCCTCCCTTCCTCCCTTCCTCCCTTCCTCCCTTCCTCCCTTCCTCCCTTCCTCCCTTCCTCCCTTCCTCCCTTCCTCCCTTTCTTCCTTTCTTCCTTTCTTCCTTTCTTCCTTTCTTCCTTTCTTCCGATTCCTTTCTTCCTTTCTTCCTTTCTTTCTTCCTTTCTTTCTTCCTTTCTTCCTTTCTTCCTTTCTTCCTTTATCAGTACGCACTGAATGCGCCCCCTAATATTCATTGGCAGGGTGAGTTGATTTATACAAGGGAAGGGATCACGGAGACAGCCAAAAGCAATGGTAGGGTTTACCCCCCCCCCCCCGGCTCGGTTTTCCCGACATGCAACGAGCCTTTGGGTCCAGGGATTCCCGTTCCAAGTGAAACACCTTTGCGCCGACTGAGATCCCACGCATTTGTAACATCTTGGGAAAGGCATATCTTCACTGCGTCTTTGACCCTTTGTCTTTTAAAGGTTCCTTCATCTTGCCTTTCAACTCTCCAGGTTGAACATGGAACCCCAAAGCCCGCCATTCTTGGGGATCGGAATCTCCTAATTATTGAAACATGGGCCCCTTGTTCAGGTCCTTTCCGTTGATTTGAAGCGGGGAGTCACCGAAAAAAGTCGCAAGCAGATTCCAGAGCCAGGCTGATCCCCATGGCTTCGAAACCGGGGGGTATCTACGGGTCCAGTCTCGGACTTAGGCAACCTCCTTCCTGGTGGTTTTCCAGGTTTCCCTTTTTAGTGCAAGAAAAGTCGGCTCCCCCCAAAAAAATCTGCAAGGAACCTGACCCTCGTGAAAGAGGTTGCCTATATAGCATCTCTAGGCTCCAGAAAGTTCGCTGCGAGGTCATGGCTGTTGACGTGGGGGTGATCTCTGCTATGGTGAGCTCCATTGGGCTGGGCGTGAGCCTCGGGTGGGCTCGCAGAAACTCGGGGCTCAAGGCAAGCAACTGGAAACACGCGTGTTTTGGTTTTTGTTTTTTTGGGGAAGGGGGAAGGGGGGGGCAAAGTAAGAGGTAATCAATTTTCAGAAACTTGCATTGGCGTCTCCAAATCCCATAGATTCCCTGTAACTGATGTAAAACCAGGCGCAACCGGGAAACTCCCACCTCTTGGACCCATGGTACCAGAATTCGAATTCGGGATGCCGAGAGTTGATCAAAAGGTCCTTGTAAGGACATATTTCGGCCAACTTAAAGCGAGCTCACCATGATAAAGGTCCTTTACAGGTGTCTTGGCCCAAATGGCATTCATCTCCAGCCCGGCCAAACCCCCAAGGAAAATCCGTTCAAAGACGTGTAGAATACGGTTTAATATGGCTTCTCTTTCGCGGTCCCAGAGTTCTCTTTGGGAGTTGGTACCCCTACCCCGTTTTGAGGGTTCCCGAATCCGGATGAAGCCACGTCCAGGTTGTCCTGCATTTGTGGCGGTGTGGAGGGTTTAGTGGTTTGAAACCCTGCTTCTTGTTGAGGGTACATGGCACACCACCACTCCACGAATCCAAACCACCACTTGCAGGGAGGCCGATCAGGGTTGCCTGTTCTGGAGCAAAGTCTGAGTATCCAAGCCTTCAATCCAAGCCTTCGAACCACCCATCAAAGCCGATAAAGAGTAAAATGAGTACCTTCCTCCCAAATGGGTTGTCTTTTTTTAGGGCACCCGCAAGATGGTAGTTGTCCTTTTGGAAACCATGTTAAACCACCCCCAAAAAACGCAACCTCAAAAAAGAACCCCCCCCCCAATAAGGGCTTCTCAAAAATGGGCCCTTTTTTGGAAAAGGGAGACAGAAAGGAAGCCACCGATTTTGCATGTCCCGCTTTGATAAACGCAGTGAGTACGTGGCAAACTAGGGATTTAGCCCCCCATTTTGGGGGTTTCCCTTCAAACCCCAACATGCACCCTGGGTAGCAACCCCATTTGTAAAGGGTCAGGGAGACCCGTGGGAAAAAACTAAAAAAAACTAAGGAAACACACAAAAAAACGCGGCGACCGAGGTATGCTGGTGGTGGAGGCGGCGCTCATTACCGGGCTCCTCACTGCGGGCCTCACTTTGCGCGGAGCTTGGAGCCGATGGGAGACTGCATATGTCTCCTCAAACACCACCCAACTTGGAGAAAAACAAACATCTCCCGTGGGCCCTCCAAATGACGTCCAACACCAAATCCAATGCAGGTGCAGACCTCTCCAAGGGTCCCATGATGCTTATGGTTTGAGCTTGCAAATTCAACGTGAACAATCGCTGAAATATGGGGAGTCCTGTCCGGGATCGGGCTTCGGGCTTTTCCCATCGTTTTGGGTTTGTTCGAATGGAAACCACCGATCCTTTGCGCTTCAACAAATGGAGACCATGGATCCCTGGCACATGTAGAGAGCACAGGAGTTTGAAAGGGAGACTGCAGATGTCCGGAACATCACCTAACTTGGAATTAAACTCACCTAATAGTTTATTCCTTTTCTTCCAGCACAAAAACTTTCGAAATCACCATACAATGGGTTCCTCGCACTTCCAATCCGGGTGTGCTGGCTTGGCTTTCTTCTCCTGCCCATCCTTTGTCCTCGATGAGCCAGACTTGTGAGAGCATCATGGGAATGGCAATTTTGGCTCAGTAGCTTTCCACCTGATAGTTGCCGGTCGCTCAGCTGTCTGGTGAGGTACATAGTGAGATGTCGATCCGATACTTGGGAACCTTCATTCATGTGGACGAGGAGGCAGCCCCGGCCATCCGAGGGCGTGCTTCTTCTGTGCCGTGCCGACGATCGGCCGACATCAGCCAGGAGGAGCGAACGTGCCGCGAGTACCTCAAACAGCTCCCCGAGCGGTTGCCTAACTGGCCCCCACTCAACGCAGCCACAATCATGGCCGAAGACGATGCGGTCGGCGTTCAAGACAAGGAGGTCCCAAGCGAGGTTCTCATGACTGGGGTGCCAGGTGATGAACCCGACGAGACATTCGCTGCATCAAGTTCAGATCATCATGGCGCGGGCAGTGTTGGCCATCCACAGTTCTGCAACCGACCTTGCGTCTATGCCAGCAAGGGCGCTTGTGTGAATGGCCTTGCCTGCGCCTACTGTCATTTGCAGCATGCAAATGATCCGAAGCTGAACAGGCGACAACGCTGGTTGCTGCGCGCCATGCCCGAAGCACAGGTGCTCGCACTGATGCATGCTGCACTGAAAGCCAAACTGAAGAAGTCTCTCAAGACTGGCATCTTGCCGATCCAGAAGCTCATCGACATCACGAACGAGTTCAACGAACCCGTAACTTTTACTCGTGAGATGACGAGCCTTCTGCCAATCTTCATCAAGCTGCCCGTTTCCAATATGCTTGGCCTCTCGAATGTGACTCGCTTCAGGCCGGTTGCGACTTCAGGTTGCCCATCAGCATTTTGGACAGAAAACAAACCCTCTTTTTTTGGAAGCCACATGCTTGCAAGGACGCAGAGACTTGAATTCCCGTGGCCAAACCTGGATTGTCGCTGTTTGCGAGTTGAGTCAGTTGACAGTTCCATACATCTTCAAGGAATAAGGCGAGGTCTTGGAGTGGGCAATTCCTTGTCGGCATGAATCCCTCGCTTTGCCAGGCTCGACCTGTGCGAAGAACTGCGCGCGGAGCTGGCACGGCTGCGAGACTGAGACAGTGAAGCCTCATGGGAGAGGTATTTGCGGATGTTTTGCCATATTCCCACATGGTGCCCAACTATTTGCATATTCCTAGGAAATGCGGGGAGCACAAGTGGCCGGAGGTGAAACCATTCCGCCGTTTTACACATGTTTTTGTCTGTGGCCAATGCGTAAACTTTAAAACCGCCTCTTCGTTTTACTTTTCTATTGTTTCCCCGCAGCAAAACGCCATATTGTTTGACTCTCTTGCCCTTTTCCTGTGGGACATCCCTGAAACTGCACCCTTTGCGGGACAGCCGCAGACCTGCTTGCGTTTTCACCGTCAAACCGTCGCTTTCCTGCATGAATGCCGTAGGGAGCGCAGAATGGCGCAATGTAATGTATCATTATTGTGACAAGAATTAAACCTACCTGAAGCCCAACATGAACCCATCCCAAACCCATAATACCCCCACCCTGAACCCCCCCTAAACCTGCACTCTAGACCTTGCCTACAACAAGTTGACCAAGCACTCTGAACATACCCCAGCCATAAACCTACACTAAACCAGCCAGAATCCCAGACCCAACCGAAGACCAATTTCATCCCAGACCAGCACTCTAAGCCTACACCAATCATACACCTACTTAAACCAGCCCTAACCAACCCTAACCCCACTAAGCCTGCTTCAAAACCACCTAAAACATCCCCAACTCCACCCAACCCCAAACCAACCCTGGACCCTCAACTGACAGTGAGCCAAACATGACCACCTTGAACCAAACCAAGAGCCCACTGATGATGCTGTTTTTTGTCACCCCCCCAGAACAGCTGTGTGTTTTCAATGTCATGTCAATGTCATGTGATGTGATGTGATATGTTGCAGGCATGGATGCCTGTACGAATGCATGGGTATGCCTTTTATGCGCGTACACGTGCAAACTCTAGTCGTTGAGCCTGTGGCAGATGCTCTTTTGAGCTAGGATTTGAATGCTAAGACCCACCAGCGCCCGCCCAACCAGCACAGCTTGCAAACTGTCAGACCTGCGTAGTGGCACAACTGGTTGACCGGCAATTCTGTTTGGTGGATCTTGTATTCAAGTTGAGACGGTCGTTGGACTTCCAGGGGAGCAGATGTTTGCCCACTTGGCGCGCCAAAGATGATAGAGAATGCTGGGATCTGTTCCAAACATACTTTTGATTCTAAGGTTTACTAAATATGGGCCATTAATCTAAACATATTTGTGTTTTGGTTCAGGGCAAAAGCCAAAGTAGAATACCTGACAAGACCCAGGTTTTCCCAAAACCGCAGCTAAAGCAATTGTCTTATGTTCGTAGCTCCCAAGAGGCAAAGCTGCCAGTGTGTTCTTTGGGCGGGCAAGCTCGCTATGCCTTGCTTGCCATCTTCAAGTTCCTTGGTTTCACTCCAGAGAGGCATGCAGCTGATGGCTGTGAGTTTTCTTCCCACAACACTTTTGTCGAAGCTTCCAGGAAGAGCATGGCTGTTTTCTGCCTTTCTCAGGCAAGGGTCAAGATGCACGTCAATGTTGTTTTTTTTGTGCAAGACCCCTGCCATGCGTATTCGACCAGGGCCCTTGGACGTGCGGATTCCCGTGTGCACGGGCCGTGTAGACAGCACATGCAGATGCACAGACTGCAGGTGCCTGTTTGCACATGCACCTTCAGAGAGTAGATGTGGTTTGAAGCCCGATTCACTTTTCTTGAGGGCATCTTGTTCACACTCTTGGGGGACTCATTCCCTGAGTTGCTGGACCTTAGTCACTGGTTTGGACCATTTGAATGGAAGACAGTTTAGACTTTGTTTTCCAAACAAGGGGGGCTCCTGACTCCCTGTGCTTGTCGCCAACGGGCACGGGCAGGCTTCAGGCCAGACCCGGCCCGCGGTTGCTATGGTTCTTGATGTGACCAGGCCCCGGAGAGAGACATGTTTTTGGAAACCAACCGGCTTTTCCGAACAGCTGCAAAAGGTGAACAACCGTGTTACCCGGAGTCTTCTGACCCTTAAAAAATGGTTGGTCATTACCCAAAATAATGAGGGTAATGGACCCATTTTTAAAGGGTCATGGAGACTCCAGGTAGTGCTTTTGCTGACACCCGGGGGAGCAATCCAGAGTTTATCAAGTGAAGTCGAACCCTCCCAGATGGTTTGCAAGATACTCGGCTTGAGAGCCGTGACACTATAGTCTTTCGTGAGCATGTGACCTCGGACTCTCGTGTAAGGCCGCAACCTTATGGCAACATGGAGCCGCCGCCTATTGCTCGCAGGTGGCGGCAGACCGACCGCACGCATCTTTCCGACCGATGCGGACTGTACTAACACGGCTCGTAGCAAGATAGGGCGGATATGACAGAAAGTAAGTAGATTGTCCAGATACCGGACACTTAGTCTGAACTTAGTATTGCTCTTTACTGACTTGTACTAGGAAGATGCTTTCGAGAAACCAGATAAACACGGATACAACAAGATAACATGACATACATATAAGAAAACAAGATCATCCAACATGTTAATATACATGCATATATAATTCGTAGAAACAAATGAACAAACAAGGAGACCAAACGAGACAAGCCAATGCAACGTGTTTGGTCGACTTTGTCATATATATTCATACTTGGAGCAATGGCATCATTTTGGCGAAAAAAATAAATAGAATGAAATCTAGCACAATAAAATAAGTTTCAGAAACCCACAAACAGAGGAAGCAAAGGGGGAAGGTCTGGCTTTGCAAAGAAGAGATTTGGAGGGGCCGGCTTTTCCATTTAGTTTGGGTTAATGATTCTAGTTTGATTGTTTCAATTGCGTTGCTTTTCCATTTAGTTTCGGTCAGTGGTTTGAAGGGGGCCGGTTTTCCATTAGTTTGGGTTGCTGGTTTGGAGGGGCCGTTTGTTCATTTAGCTTTCTTAGTTTGGAGGGGGCCGCCTTCTCATGTTTTTCCGTTTAATTTTGGTTGCTGGCTTGGAAGGGGGCTTGTTTCATTTAGTTTGGGTTGGTTGTGTGGAGGGGCCGCTTCTTCCTTTTAGTTTGGGTTGATGGTTCTTTCATTTGCCTTTTCTTGGTGGTTTGGAGGGGACGCTACGTGCTCGTCCCAAAACCCATTCCAGACATCACCGATGCCTCGGGCAGCTCCCACAGGCGACTCCACCAAGGGACATAAGACAAAAAGTGGGAGGCGCCCCCAATTGATCAAAACCAACCAGGGAAGCCCTAGGGTATTAAACGAATGTCCTTGGGACCCATTTTGGATGAGGAGCATCTCTAAATAAAATATGGTGGTTATATGAACCCCTTATTCAGTCGCCGCCAGCGGGAAAAACCTGTTCAGACACTTGGCACGCTGACCTTCAATCGCAGGTAGGCCCTGTTCCAACAGATGCTGCCATCTAAATATATAGAGTCAAGGCTTTCAAGACAAACCACACTTTCATC